CATCGCAACCTCCACCTCCTGGGTTCAGGCAATTCTCCTGCCTCAGCCTCCTGAGTAGCTGGGATTACAGGCACACACCACCATGCCCGGCTAATTTTTTGTATTTTTAGTAGAGATGGGGTTTCACCATGTTGACCAGGATGGTCTCAATCTCTTGACCTCGTGATCCATCCGCCTCGGCCTCCCAAAGTGCTGGGATTACAGGCTTGAGCCACCGCGCCCGGCCCCAATCTGGGTTTCTGACTTACTTTTGTAAAATGCAATAAAATTAATTACCTGGGAAAATAAAGTTGGGTAAACAGGTATATAAAGTACATCCCCAATTTTTAAATTATTAGATTCAATAAACATATAATTATTTGTTATATGTATTTGTTATATATGTATAATGTTATCAAGGTTTCTAAACTGCCACTTTCTGTACTTATCTTAGAGTAGACTGGTAACAAATATGTAAGCACCTGACAGATTTTACTTGCCTGCTGCACAGAAAAGCCAATTCACTGAGACGGAAGTATTGCAGTAGAGAAAAAGTATAATAAACTCAAAGCCAGCCAAGTGGAAGGTTGGGAACTTACTACTCAAATCAGCTTCCCTGAGAACTCAGAGGCTAGGATTTTTATGAATAATTTGGTAGAGGGCTAGGGAATGGGTTCTGCTGACTGATTGTAGATGAAATTATGAGTATGGAAAATGGTCCTTGTGTGCCGAGTCAGCTTCTGGGTGGGAGCCACAGGACCATGGGAAGAATTTAGTTATGAGTCTCAGGTCCAGGTAAAGTCAGTTGGTAACAAAAGAGCAAAAGTCTGAAAAACATCTCAAAAGGCCAATCTTAGGTTCCACAATAGTGATGATGTTATCTATAGAGGCAATGGGAGAAGTCACAAATCTTGTGACTTCTGGTCACATGACTCCTGAGCAGTAAGGGATTACAGAAAAGCAAGCTAGGAAACAATGGTTGGTTATTATTTAACTATGCCTGTATTTTAGCAGAATTCAGGCATCTCTCATTATCCTAATCTTGTGGGCTTTCATTACTCCTACAAATGTGGTTTCAGTCCCTAAACAAAGAGGAGGTCAGTTTTAAGGAGGGACTATTATCATCCTTGCTTCAAAGTTAAACTATAAACTAAATTATTCCCATGGCTAGGTTGGCCTATGCTCAGGAATGAATAAGGAGAGCCAGCCTTTGAGGCCAGAAGCAAGATTGAGTCAGTCATGTTAGATTTCTTTCACTGTCATAATCATTGCAAAGGTGGTTTCAAATACATTTCAAAGGCACCTTGAGTAGTATTGTTCTAGATAATATCAACCCTTTCTTTCAGTGCCAGTTAAGATATCACTTCCTCCCAGAGGTCTTCCTGACAACCCTTCCCTACCCACATCTGAGCTGGGTGGTCTCATAGAATCTTGTGTGTCCCACTATCAGAACATGAATCGAGCTGTGCTTGAAATGGGTCTGCCTTACTGATTTGGGGGTGCTGCTGTTGCTGCTAAGTGTGTCAACCTTTTGCAAACATTCAGGGCTCCAAAGTCAGTAGGCATCAAATCCCTTCTGTAAGCCAGTTAAGTAAAGGAGGTAAGTCTGTGTATGTGAAGAAAGAAATGCTGTATGTCATTAAATTTAAGATGCCATAATACAAAAATTTACCAGTCATGGTGGCGGATGCCGGTAATCTCAGCTACTCGGGAGGCTGAGGCAAGAGAATTGCTTGGACCCAGGAGGCAGTGGTTGCAGTGAGCCAAGATCGCTCCATGGCACTCCAGCCTGGGCAACAAGAACAAAACTCTGTCTTTAAAAAAGAAAAAGATGTCATAAATTATAAGATGCATCCCTAATTTAGTAATGTGAAAATAAGAATTTTAAGATGTGGGGCTTGGCGTGGTGTTTCAAGTTTGTAATCTCAGCACTTTGGGAAGCCAAGGTGGGAGGATCTGTTGAGCACAGGAGTTTGAGACCAACTTGGGCAACTTAGGGAGATCCTACTGCAACAAAAAAATAACGAAAATATCAACCAAACATAGTGGTGTGCACCTATGGTCTTACCTACTTGGGAGGCTCAGGTGGGAGGATCACTTGAACCTGGGAGGTCAAGGCTTCAGTGAGCTGTGATTGTGCCACTGCACTCCAGCCTGGGCAACAGTATTCCAGAGATGGCAAAGTATGGGAATGTGTGTCGTTGAATTGATAACATGTGGTTGTTAAAATCTCAGTCATCTGTCTTTTGAGTAAAGTCTCAATTGTTTGTTGAGAGAAGATTTTGTAGAAAAGAATAAAACATAAAGTATATTGACATTTATGATTATAAATACTTCTGCCAAAAGAGGGTATTTGTGGCTTCTTGTAATCCTTTACAGATAATCTTGCCTTCATTCCTCCAAATTATGCATGTACTTGGTATTCTTATTTCTTCATCCTCATCTTATGCCTCAGGTAAGTAAAGCCCTGGATACCTGATTTGGTTATCCAAGACTTTGCAGTGAGTGAGTCAGGGAGGAATGGAATTTCTGTTCTCCTTATCCCGAGGTAGCATTGCTTAGAGCTATGCTGGGAAGATCACTCTGTAAGACAAACCAGGAAACCTAATTAACAGGACGTGTCTGGTCCTGACTGTACATCATTTTCATCTTCATATGGATGACTGATAAGGGGTGGCTATGACAGAGCTATCTGTCTTGTCTGATCTGGGAAATGTTTCTTTGAAAAGTTCATAAATTGATCTATTAAGACTATTATCTATGTTCCAAGACTAAATAAAAGCCACAGCTGGAGACTTCAGGAATATGTAAACATGAATCTATATTAATTTGAATGTAAAATTGCCCAGAAATCTCTTGGCGGACAAATTTTTATGTATGATTTGCTTATCTGTAACTCATCTCATAGCTTCCCTTGCTTACTGGGTATCATTGTAAAATAATTAATGTGTTTATATATGTTGAAGTATCTGCTAACTAGAATGATTTGGGATTTATCCAACTTGATCCAAAAATGAATTTGGCCAGGGCATGGATAATCCCTGCCTTCTAGGGATATCAATATATAAATAGTTCATATTAATACTTAGGAAGACAACAGACAAATGGCTGTAAGAATGCCAAGACTTCCAGGTAGACTAGTGATGCCAGAAATAACGAGTGGAATCTCAGGAGTGCAGAACATTTAGAAAATTATAGGTCTAGAAAATGTGTTATTCCCCTGATAGTAGAAAAACATGTTGCCATAGAAACAATATTAAAGTGACCATTACAGTCCTGAGCCTTCCCACAAACACTTGTGTAGCCTGCAGTGATGCCATCCTCTTACCCTGATGGTCCTAACCTGATTTCTGGCTGGTAGGATTCAGGGACTGGGAGGAGGAAGAAAGAGAAAGAAGGCATTTGCCTTACACCTTCTTTGCTTCATGTCTTTCTCTTCCTGGATCCCCCTCCAGGCAGTAGTGTTCACAAGCTGTTTTATCTAGACCCTATCCAGGCTTGCTCTTTTTCCCCAAGGGCCCCAAGCATCTCAGTGACTTCCCTCCTTTCTGCCCAGATGACATTCTCATTCCCTCTTGGCAACTGGGAAGCAATCAAGTTTAATTGATTGTCACCAATTTGTGTTTAGCTGATTATCCCCTCTATTCATCTATTCTCTAGGTCTACATTTAAAAAAATATTTTCCAAACTTGGTCCAATGGGTGGACTATAGTCAGGGCAATAGACAGAAGTGAAAAATATGTAGTGTGTGGAAGGAGGGTGATATTTAAACACATACTCATAAACACAATATATAAGTTAATGTAACATAGATGAATATATATATTTGCAAAGTATATTTAATATTAATATGGTTCATTAATATGGTTTATTAATATGTTAAAATATTAATACAGTTTATTAATTATTAATGTGGTTTATTACTTAACCATATTATGGTTTTCAGATGTAAGCAACAGAAACAAATTCTCACTAATTTAAACAGAAAAGGCATGAACTTGATGGCTGTGGAGTGACTCAGAATCAAAAGGAAAATTGAACAATTAGACTTAGGACAGACAGGAGTCGTGATGTTTGAGTGGCAGAGGAAGATGTGTTCTAAGCAGAACTCATGAATGGTGTCTTACCAAATCAACTCCAACACTCATTTTATCACTTGGTTAAACATTCAGATTCCTGTATAGTCTTGCTTGGGTCAGAGTTCCTCTCCTTAGCTGGAGCTGGGCAAGGCACCTTGATTGACAGTCCCAACCAAGGGGAGAAGACAGTTCACTAGGTTAAAACTAGGGTTCCATTCCTAGAAGAGTGGATGGACACTTGTTAAATGGCTCACTCTCTGCTAAGTGCTGTAGGTGTTAATCTTGACCAGCCATGCCTGGGATTGTGTCCTTGAGTTCAGTCTCCTACTCTCTACTTTTCACAGCTTCTACTCTTTTAGAACCCACAGCTGATCCAAATCAGTTCATACAACAGCTCTTACAAAACAGCAAGGCTGATAAAGTACTTGGTTGGCTCGTCCTGTCCCCAGTGCCCACTGTACAGGGCACTGGAAAGTCTGACTGCTTTCTGGGAGCTCAGGGCAATGGACTGGGTTGGTATCCAGGTTGCACTTTTTATTTTGGTCCTCTGGGCAGTATTCCAGATAAAATGAAAAAAAACAGGATTAATTCTAGTGACATTCCCATCCCCTCATAAAACTATTGAGTCCTTCCTTCATGGATCTGGCCTCTTAAAATGTGGAAAAACCCTTGCTTTGCTCAAGGTAGCCTTTCTGGCAGGTGGCTCTCAGAATTACTTTATTAAACAAAGTCTAATTAATGCCCAACGGAAGGAACAGCCAGAAAGCGTTCATCGAATATCTGGAGCAAAAGGAGATTTTCAGTCCAGGAGGCAGTTTAGTATAAACGTAAGAGCTGAAGTCAGATGTCCTGGGTCAAATCCTGGTGCCACCACTGTTTTCTGTGTGACCTTTGAATGTGACTAAGCCTTAGTTTCCTCATGGGGAAATTGCAGTAATAGTGTCTACCTCATTGGGCTCTGGAGAGAATTAAAATAATCTCTGTAAAGTGTTTAGTACATAACAAGTGCTTAAAGAACATCTGCATAAATTATTTGACCATTCATTCAAAAAATATGACTTGTGCCTAAAATGTACCAAATAATGTGCAAGATAATGGTACATATATAGATATAATGATATGTATAAAACTCCT